CACATAACTGAGAGTGCGCCTTTTAGTCCGGTGCGCCTTATGGTCGTGAAAATACGGTAGTTTCAAGATCCCTGAGATTAAGTTTCAAATATCTGTCCAGTGCCTCATTCATCTCCAGTAGTTTTAAACCAGGAACCAATGAGAATTGTGGGTTTGGCAAGGGGATAAACTTGGTTAAAAAACAAACAAAAATACAGCTCTTCAGTCTTAAGAAGTTTACACACACAGGTTTACAACCAGCATAATGTCATCTTTGACTATCTGATTAAATAATACTAATAAAATGGTCAACAGAAACTCATACAGGTAACAATATACTAAAGATGGCAAATAACTTTGTACTGAATATATTTGGATTGTTGAATTTGGCATTTCCCTAACATAAAATTCCCACAGGTTTTGTTCTCCAACTTTAGCTCTATAATGTGAAACAACAGTGCTTTTACATTGCATTTTAATTTGGAAAATATGATCTAAACATTGGGATCCTCTCTTCTGCTGAATGTCTACGGAAGGCTGAATACAAACGCATTGCTTAGATTTTTATTGTTAAGAAATGTAAAAAAAAACAAAAAAAAAACTATAATTTTCTTATGATCTACTTTGAGTTGGACTCTCACAAAGTCCCAATAAAACAGATTGAGATTTGTGGCTGTAATGAAGCAAAATGGAAAAACAGCTGTGAATATGTCTGCCATGCACTGTATACGTTATACACTTCGATAAAGCTTTTATTGCTTTAATAGTTTCCTTTTGCAAAACTAGATGCAAGGCCCTAGAGCTTCTGCATATAACTGTGCTTATTTACTTTAATGTCTATAAGCTATGTACTGACATTTATGCACAAGCACCTATGAATGTGGTTGTTTATGTTGACAATTTTATATGATGACGTTGGGGAAACAAATGTCTATGCAAGAGCAGCCTGCTTAGTTCTGTGTTGGCAGGAGCCATAAACATGCACAGGCGCTGTATGGAAATGAGGTATCCATGTAGACTGATTATTGGGATGCGACTGATCATGAAGCAGGCGAGAGGAAACTAATATCAAGGCAGAAAAAAAAAACACAAAGAAGTAAACTATCCAGCTCTCTACAATAAGGATCTGGGTCCTATATTAAGGATATTGCCTCAGGGAACAAGGCACACAGTCTTCTTTCATCTTTGCTAGAGAAAACTTACTTGGTAATGAAATAGAAATACATCTCATCCTTCTGATTCAACGGCCTGATTTTTCTTGTTCTCTCTATGATTGGCTATTTATGTTTGTCTAATAAAGGCCAGAGTTCCTTTTTCTCATTCTCTCATTTTGAGTGCTCTCGGGATCTTTTATCCTTCACCTGATCTCGTTCTTCATCTGATCTTTTACTTTACTTCTCTTAGATCTGCTTCACTGAATCATAGGCTTGGATCCTGATATCTGCACCCTTTTGGGTCTTTCAAATTCACTGTTTAACCTTTGTTTTTTTTTTGCCCGCACAGCCTCTTTTGCCCCCATCTCTTTTGCGATAAAACCAAAGGACACTGACATGCTTCCCTTCGAGAAGAACAGAGTACGGCTGGATGATGATTCAGATGAGGACAAGGTCTGATTTTCATTTACTTTTATATCCCATCCATAATTCAAATTAAGTGTATTTTAGTATTAAAATAAATTAATCCTTTAAATTACAATTTAAACACATTTTGAATTGATTAATGTATTTTTTTTCTGGAAGTTGTTGGAAGAGCAGGGGCTGGATGCTTTGATGGTTGGAGCTGTAACGGTGGAAAAAGAACCTTCTCCCGCCATTGCACCTGAAGAAAAGAAACCTGCCCTTACATTAGAAGAGCTGGAAGCAAAACAAGGTACCTAAAAAGCAAGCTGAAACTATAATACCATGCTTTCCTATATTTCATCATTACTTCTAACATAGAAAGAATATGACTCATGTCCTGGATCTTCATGTCAGTTGACTGTAGTTATCTATTTCACTTGTGCACATTTTTCCTAGTTTCCACATTTTTCCCTTGATTCTGCATGGATACGACACTTCATTTGCTTGTAGTTGATTTATTTACCATCCTAAGTCACGTGAGGACTGTTGCATCCTTAATTTAATATACTAAATATATATAAACATTCCAGGTTTTTATTAGTTGGCCAGTTTTGATCACTGCATCTAATAAAACCAGAACAGATGCATAGTCGGCTGTTCTTAAACTCATCACCTCAGGTATTATACAAATGTACAATTAATGAAAAGGCAAGCTATCAACAAAGACATAAACTTCACCAATTTCCTGTGACTTGAATTCATGTCGTCCTTTTTAGTGCTGTAAATTGAAATGAAACTACATTTTTGTCTCCATGTATATCAGATTTTTCTGATTAAAATCTTGTAAGTACTTTCCCCAAATGCCCCTGTGTCTCTAAAGACACGAATATTTAGCATATTATTGTAGTTAAAGATTAGACTTAAACCATCATAATCTCTATTTGACTGGAAAGACAGATGTTAAATTGAACCTTAAAAGACAGATGGACGGTCAAAGACAAATGTGCTACTTTTCAGCATCAATGAGGTTGTCAGGTTCCTTTAGGTTCACTGGAATCGTTTAAGAATCTAATGGCTTTTTTTTGAAGCTGTCAGGCGGCCAGAGAAAGAGACTAGAGCAGCCTAATAAAAAGCTGACTGAATTGCTTTAGCTGTGCAGCAAAGTGGCTGTCAGTCAGTGGGCCTAACTTGATCAGATAGAATAGAGATCAGTAGCAGACAACAGACACTTATCTGTGGTGATGGCTTGAAAAAAGGCCACCCGCATTAAATGCGGTTTGTGATAAACAAACTAGAACGGCAAGCATTTCCCAGTAGATCTTGCTGTTTCGATTTTTTTGGACTACAAGAAAGGATGGTTACTATATAGAGCTGTAACAAATATTATCATGTATTGATTTCTCAGTTGAAGCAGAAATACAGCCTCATAGAATTTCAATTAAGTTGGCATTTTGGGGTTATTTTAAGTAGTTAACAGCTGACAATTTTGGATCTACTCGAAGTATCATCAAAATGGATGTTACAGTGACTTCAAGGGGCCTAATGTGGAGAGATTATTTTTTACTACCTTTTATGTTTTCTTAAGTTGATGTTCCCATCTTGCAGAATGCTATTTGTTTAATATAAAAATAAATAAAATAAATACATACACACGTACCTGACAGATTAAAATCTGAAATAATATTTCTATTCTACCCAAACACTTTTTTTTAGTTTGTTTCAAATATTTTTTTTTTCCTTCCTAAAACATTGAACTTGATCCATGCAGCTATTTAGTAAACTCACGTGTTACTCTTGTTGATTATATTTAATGCACAGTAGTAAACTATGGTGCTAGGCTAATGCTAACTCTAGGGTTCATTGATAGTTTTATGCATTTATAGTAAATCATTCGGATAAAACATGCAGAGAGTTTGCTTTCCTTCTTTATAAATACAGTGCTTTGATTAAAAAATATTGTATATGTATTAGGGCCAGGTTCTTGATTTTGACTAAATAAACTACAAGGATTTAAAACCTCTAAAACCTTTACAAATCCCCCATCCAGTCCACATCAGACCAGATTTTGAGCTTACATACTTAATGCTAATGAACTCATTAAACTTTTTAAAAAAGTATTTTTTTTAAACGGGTTTAATAAACAGACTTGAATTATTCTAACTTTTACCCAATCTGGTGGTTAAATAACCTAAAAAATTAAACTGAAGCTCTAATTTAGGAGCAAAACGAGTTTTAAATTTGAAACGGTGGTTTACTTTGTCAATATATTGTGTGAATTAGATTAATACTGACCCTGCATTTAAAAGTTCTAAGCAAGTTGCACCTCTAATATTTAAAAAGAAGTGCTACAACTGTTCTCTACACATCTTTTCTACACCAATTGCTGTCTGGGGTTATCTGAGCACAGGTGATGGAACAGATCACATGACAAATACAGAGGAAACAGCAGCAACCATAACAGTTTTTCTGGGGCCCAAAAGATTTTCTAAATGCTTCAATGCAGCCTCCGTTCTTTCCCAAAGGCAAAAAAAATGCAATGATAAAACAAGAAAACACCTCATCATCCACGAATTTCATCCACATCTCATGGATGTCTGTTTCCATTGGATTAGTTTTTCACAAACCGTTTATGGTCCCTTGGTAAAACTGATAGCATTGTGGTGTGTGCTTATGTATTTTTTATTTATTTTTTATGAGTCGTGTTATAGCTCTATGCTTTGGGCTACGTTTACACTGCAGGCCTTGATGCTCAATTCCGATTTTTTTTTTTGCGAAATCCGATTTTTTTTTACATTGCCGTTCATGTTTCTAAATATATTCGACTTGTATGTGATCTCTTGTGTGAACTGCAGTCATACAATGCAAGTGTCCCGCAATGACACCACAGGCCAGTGTGCTCTTTTTTTTCCGGAAGTAAACATGGAAGGTAGCGCCGGCCCGCATCTAGCGGTCTTTTCCAACCATAAAAACACATTCTTTTCAATATGGTTGAACATTAATACTGCTCTCCGCATCATCATCTAACATGGTTGTTGTTTTTCTTGCCGCTTCTGCGTAGCAAGACGCGTAATGGTGACCTTTGTCGGGTATTAATGATGTTCAGGTCGGGTGAATCCGACCTTGCTGTTCAGACACAGGTCGCATTTGAAAAGATCAGATTCGTATCGGATTCAGGACCACGTATCCAAGTGGCCTGGGTCGGATTGGAAAAAATTGGATCTGTGTTGTTCAGACTGCCATGAAAAGATCAGATCCAGGTCGCACATGGGCCAAAAAAATAGGATTTGGGTCACTTCAGGCCGCAGTGTGAATGTAGCCTTGTATATGCATTTCAAGAGGAGTTAGGATTAGAAGTATTTTGTTTTTATTGAGGTACTTAGGTTTTACATTATGTTTTAGCTTGAAATGACCCTCTTCCTGGTCTGGTTAGCCACCAAGCTACAGCAGTTTCCAAGCCGCTTGCCACTAAGCAACAAGATTGTCAGACAGCTCAGCCTTGGATGCTTCTCACTTGTCTACCAATTAGCCACCATGCTAAATCAAAAAAACTAGAAACATGGACTCTTTAGGGGTCGACTTGATCAGTTAAAGCTATGTTCCCTATATTACTGCATCCATTGCACTAATATGGGATTAAGTGTTAAGAGTTGACCTGATAATTTACTGGGAATAATATGCATGTGTAAAGGGTGCTAAATCTTGTTATACCTGTGAATGTGGTCGCAGTATATTACTGGGACGTGTGTGTGTGGAAGGGGCTTTAGATACTGAATTCTTCTCTCATTTTTCAACAGTCCATATATTATTATGCATGTATGTGGTAAAAATTCTGAAAATACAGTAGTGAGACAAATGTGGGCCAGCATTGTGTTGTCATTGTCTGTGGTGCAGATGGGTTTTGCTTGTCTTGGCTGTTGTTCGCGTGTGATTTGCTCAGCAGCTGGCTTATTTTTAGCTCTTAAGAGATTCCTGTATCCCCAGTGGTTGCATAACCTAAAAAAGCTACATTACGGTTAGCTTTTACTTCATATATTATTATTCTACATCAAGCGTTCTTCATTTTCATCTGCTTTTAGCTCCTTATTTTTTTTTGTTTTACCTCTCTAATTCAAGCTTGCTACTTTCTGTTCCTCTCTTTCTCCCATCTACAAAAAAGTAGATATTTTTCCTTACATTCTGCCCAACATATCATGTCTCTTATGCCAACGCTTCCCTAACTTAAAATACCTTCTGTATAAATCCTGAATTGCATAAAATGATCCAAGATACAATTGAGTGTTGCAGTTTTTGTAGGAAATATGTCAATCTTTAGCTGTTGTAAACTTAGAAAATTGCCTGAAATTACTTGGCTTGTAGGTTTTACTAAAGGTGCTTTTGCTGCCTTTCTTTTTCTTCTTTCTTGTTTGCTTTGTCTAAATATTTTTCCTCCCCACTTTCTTTTTCTTTCTTGACAAATGTATACTTTTTAAATAACCAAATGTATCTTTCACCCAATTTTAGAATATCTCTGTGGTCGACACAAAATGGGGGAATGACTACAGTCTAAACATTTCTCCTGTTCATCTCATTGCCTTCAGCCAAGCAGAAACTGGAGGATCGTCTCGCAGCTGCAGCTAGGGAGAAGCTGGCCCAGGCATCCAAGGAGTCCAAGGAGAAACAGCTGCAGGCGGAGAGGAAGAGGAAAGCAGCGCTCTTCCTGCAGACGCTTCGCAGCCCAATCGCTGGGGAGCCTGAGGCCAAGAGAGCAGAGTTAGAGTCATATACACAACAAGAGGTAATAACATGTGTCTTCATGGTGTTTTTAATCTTAAAATCAGAATGGAAACCATCAAAACTCACTTAGAGTTTATCTAAATTCAAGAAATAGTAAATTGTAATTTTTTTGAATTTGACACAATAGAAGAAATGTTTTCCCTTTTTTAATCTTGTTCCTTCCCACCTCTACCTTTTGTATCCTCAGAGAATATAATGCTCTTTTCACACAAGATTAGTTCCTTTACATCTATTTTTTGCTATAATATCTGTATACATATCTCTACACAAACTTTGGGAAACCATTTTATAGTTATCCCACTCAATTACTATCTTGAAAGCCCACTGGATCCTCATCCAGCAGTTTCTTCATTATTGCTTCTTCTGTGTTTCAAACACCTGATTAACATTTATCTTAGACTCACAAAGATTGTGCCTAAAATTTTGATCATTGCCAGCTGTGTACAGACAGTGTTCAATGAAGATTTCCTTTCTCTTGAATAATGTTTGGTGCAGATTATTCCTTTGAACTCTTTTAGGCCCTTTTGTTTTTTCAAAATGTTTAGTAAAGCAACTCTTTGCCATGTGAGAAAGTTTTTTGCACTTCCTGCACTGTGGGGTTTTTGCAGTGTTATTGCATGACTCTGTGTGACATGGATTTGATAATCTTTGTCATGAGATCATATTCAGGTGTGCAAATTTAACTGTCACAGTTTACTAATAAGACTCTTACGACTTGATTGTCGCCACTTACCTGGTGTCAGGGAGTGTTTGCCGTTCAGTAGAGCCCAGCTTATAGGCGGTGAAATTAAAAACACTCGGAGCAGCTTCAGGTTGTAGCCGGCTGTCCGTTGGACTGCTTGCTTGCCAAACTTAAGTCTTTTACTTTACATAGTCTCCAGAACGGTTGTTCTGTGAGTTAGAAGGGATGGTCAGAACCCCGACTCTAAAACTACCTCTTCTCTCCTTCCTACGGCTCGAATCAGACGGGGAAAGGGCTCAAAGGCATTAGCAATGTGATTTAGATTCTTAAGTGTTATTTCAGCTTCCTCTTACCAAATATATACCAAATATTTTAAATGTTTTTTAAACGTGATCTATCGCCAGTATATCCAATGTAATCAATTGCTAGAGCTAGCATTAATCAACCCTGTGACATCACCGTTCAAAGGTACTGCAACATGGCCACGCCCCTTACCAAAAAATTATAAAACAAACCTTTGTTTTTTTCTTTTATGTTTATATTTTTCACATTTGTAATATAGTTATTGAAAATAGTAAGACACAATGTTTAATTAAGTTAGCTTGGTTGAACGTTTCATTTCCCCTTTAAATGTATTTAAATAAAATGCACAACCCTGTACCCGTTCCCGAGAGGGAACACCTATTAAACACATGCAAGAGCAGCACAAGTCCATTTCTCTTTGTGCATGTTTTGTTTAAAAGTTGCAGTGCCCGAAAGTCCATCCTAACCCCTAAATCCCTCAATCACTATATAGTCCGCTATTTAGTGGACTTTATAGTGAACTTGGACAGATCACTACTTTTTACTCCCTGTTGGTCGTGTAACTCCTCCTCAACTGCGTGGTGCCTGAGCCATCTTTGTTATTAGTCACCACTGTCAGGTAGCAACAGAGGGCCGCTGTGACAGAGAATCACATAATGCTTTGCGACGAGAAAGCTCTGCGCGAAGCATTCCAGGATATATCTGCCTCTTGTGAGGCCTTTCTTTTCATCTCATACACTTCGTAGACAGTTTTTCTCTTACGACCCTCTGCCATTTAAAAAAAAAAAGAAGTGAGAAAGGTGAGCCTCAATGACTGGCTGAAACTGCTTACCACATATATGCCTGAAAGTGCGCATGCGCAGTAAAAGACATACTCATATCACCAGAATGATTGACAACAAGGAGGACCAATTATTTAGATGATTCACCTGGAAGAAGAACATCCTCGCCTAAACCTTTAAGTGCTATTCTGAAACAAGTCACTTCCACACTATGAGACACAGTTTAGAGCTGTATGGCAGGTGGTCAGTCTGCTGTTAAATTAAAATCAGTCAAAGAAAACTTGAGCTCGATGTGCTCAGCTTCAATGTAAAACAAGTTCAGATTTCTGAAATTAGAACTAATTAAAACTCAATGACCTTTCATAAAATAAAGCTCTGCTCTGTTTCTGAAGCACTAATATTTTATACTTGACAGCAGGTAAAGCCAGAAGGCTAATGAGAAAATCTTAATCTAATTTGTTTTTTAGGTAGTGGCAATGGATGCTTAAATCTACTGGTAGTTTCTTAAGAAAGGCATTAATATTTCTCTGTCAAGTATACAGAATCAGGCACTTTATACTTTTTCAAAAAAAATGCCTGAATATTTAGTTTAGATTATATGTGAAGTAATATTATGGAAAACGTCTAATTTAATGATTCCCAACTAACAGAAAAACCTGTGCAGAATAAACTTTAATTATTATGGCTCAATACTGTGGAAACACTTTTTGGCAATCTGTAGGCAGTTTGGAGTTTTTGCATTTGTAAGAGTAAACGTATCTTTTGTCGTGTTTTTGATTGCCATTTATTAGAACTCATATTTTATTTCGTTAGTTGTTTGTTATATTGCTTTTTGCTGTTCATATTTTTTCCTAAGGTTTGAAATTTGATATTTTTCTTTTATTTTCTGTTTTTCCCCCTATATTAACAGATTATTTTAATAGTTTTTCTTGTTCATTTTATACACAGTAGTCTATCCTATTTTTAACCCGATCAACATTATAAAGGTATTGTGGAGGACATCCTACAATTTTTTTAAAAGACCCTCCCTCTCCACTTTAAAAAGAGCATGCTCAAGCCCATTTCTCCTTGTGCAGGCTGTGTTTAAAAGTTGCTGTTCTCATAGCTCATACAAGCTTACTGTGTCCGAACATCCACCCTAACCCCTAAATCCCTCAATCACTTTAAAGAGCAGGAACTAAATAGTGGACTTTATAGCTAACTCAGTTAACTGACCATTTAGACAGATGATCACTCCTTTTTGCAAAAAGCAGTTGGTCTTGTAACTCCTCCTCAAATGCCCGGTGCCTGTGCCAACTTTGTTATTCGTCGTCGCTGTAGGGTAGCGGCAGCCTATGGCGATAGCGGGCCGCTGTGATGGCAAATCCCATAATGCTTTGTGACGAGAGCTTTCAGGGCAAAGCATTCCAGGATATAGCTGCCTTTTGTGAGTCCTTTCTTTTCGTCTCATACACTTTGTAGACACTTTTTCTCTTATGTTCAAAGAACCACAGTGACAAAGGTGAGCTTCAATGACTGAAACTGTAGCTCATCACACATGTGCCTGAAAGTGCACATATGCAGAAAAAGATAGCTAACTGGGAGAGGCACGTTGGACGGCCTTACGTAAACATATCACCAAAATGATTGATAATAAGGAGATCCACTTAGTTAAATGATCCACTCTGAAATACAAGATCGTACTCTATACCTTTAAAATAGCTTCAACTTTATGATTTATTTTTTTCCTTATTGTTGAGTTAACTAACCTTTAGTTCAGTGTTTTTATGTATTANTTTTTTGTTTTCTTGTTTATTTTTTACACCGTAGTCCATCCTATTTTTAACCCAATCACAGAATAAAGTTATTGTGGAGGATATCCTCCAATTTTTTAAAAGACCCTCCCTCTCCACTTTAAAAAGAGCATGCTCAAGCCCATTTCTCCTTGTGCAGGCTGTGTTTAAAAGTTGCCGTTTTCATAGCTCTTACAAGCTTACTGTGTCCGAACATCCACCCTAACCCCTAAATCCCTCAATCACTATATAGAGCAAGAACTAAATAGTGGACTTTATAGCTAACTCAGTTAACTGACCATTTTGACCAAACATCCCCAAACTTGGTCCTCAAGGGCCGCTGTCCGCCAAGATTTAGAGGTTTCCCTGCTTTAGCACAACTGATTATCATGATTGCAGTAGAGCAGAACCCTGTTTCAGCTTGCAATTAAAATCAGCTGTGCCTGAGCAAGGAAACCTCTAAAACCTGCAGGACAGCGGGCCTCGAGGACCGAGTGTGGGGATGCCTGATTTAGACAGATGATCACTGCTTTTTGCTCCCCGTTGGTCTTGTAACTCCTCCACAACTACGTGGTGCCTGTGCCATCTTTATTAGTCACCACTGTAGGGTAGCGGCAGCCTATGGCGATAGCGGGCCGCTGTGACGGCAAATCCCATAATGCTTTGTGATGAGAGCTTTCAGGGCAAAGCATTCCAGGATATAGCTGCCTCTTGTGAGTCCTTTCTTTTTGTCTCATACACTTCGTAGACACTTTTTCTCTTTTGTTCCTCTGTCATTTTCAAAGAACCACAGTGACAAAGGTGAGCTTCAATGACTGAAACTGTAGCTCATCACACATGTGCCTGAAAGTGCACATACGCAGAAAAAGATAGCTAACTGGGGACGAGCACTTTGGACGGCCTTACCTAAACATCACCAAAATGATTGATAATAAGGAGATCCACTTAGTTAAATGTTCCACCCTGAAATACAAGATTGTACTCTATACCTTTAAAATAGCTTCAACTTTATGATTTATTTCTTTCCTTATTGTTGAGTTAACTAACCTTTAGTTCAGTGTTTTTATATATTGATATTGTTAACTTATTCCAAAGGTAAAGTCAGGAAAGCTTTTCCTTTGTGGGCATAGCCATTTGAAAATCTGTGGGAGTGTATATGTGTCTATGCAAGCATGTGGGTGATTGATTACGGAACATGAATATTATTTTATTGTCCTCACTTTGTTTTTTATATATATATTTATTGAGGTTTTATACCTCGAGAAATAAAGAAGGCAAAAAAAGTGAAATAACAAAAAAAAAAAGGAATAGATTATCCAAATCTCAGTCTGACAGAAAAGCTCATCCTTCTAAACAATCCATACTGACATTTCCTATGCCACATTTACTTAGCATACTATGTCTGAAACTAGGCAGTTTTATTTCTTCCTTTTGTGGAAAAATATGGTTTGTGACAGAGCCT